AACCCCAGGCCGCCAAAATGGAGCGTGCAAACTTAACCACTATGCCACCAGGCTGGCCCCCTGTTGCCTCATTTTTAAAAAGTGAAGTTAGCATCTTTAGTGTGGAAGAACTTAGAGAAAAACATCAATTGGATAAAGAATTTGGAGGTGGGTAAACGAGCTGGGTCTGTGTAAGTTACTGTCTTGAAGCCCTTCACTTTACAGAACTAATGCGGAGTTTTCAGGCTCTTTTATTCGATACTCTTCTCAGGAACATTCCTATCGTTTCCAGCAGCAGTGAGGATCCAGCGGGGAGACCTGCCCCGGGAGGCCCAGCCTCTAGTCTCATGTCCGTCCTCAAAGCAGACACACAGAGCTGGTCAGGAAGAGACACCAGCAGCTACAGAGAGAAGTCAGAAATTCCCCTAGAGCAATTTATTAAGAGTTATGGGCCTGCTTCCGAGTCCTCACCCAAGTCCGTTTAACTGATCATAGTTCACTGTGAAAACGGCAGAGAAGAAGCAATACAGTTTCAGGAAGCCAGCCTTGGTGTGTGTAGCCTGGACCCAGGCACAGGCCGGGGGCCCATCGTAGCACTGACTCCTCCCTTCTCCGGGTTCTGGGATCTTCCTGCTTCAGAGCCTGTGTCTGGGGACTGACTCGTCCTGAATGCTGGCACTAAGGACCAACTCAGCTGCAGAAACAAGACTTGGTGCTAACCTTCCTAACCACACACTACCCAGTAATTGAGAAAAAGGAGAAATACTTGATAATGTTTAGTGCCAAGGAGCTGAAGTTGGCTTTTTAGGTTATACTTTGAATCTTAGAGGAGATTTCAACTGCAAAGTTAACCTCTTAAGTCCTTTGTTCTTTATCCTCCTGCTTTCCTGAGGTGGGCAGTGGTCCAGATGTGGACCACCTCCGTGGTGATAAAGGTGCTGTGACTACTGAGGACAGACCGACGGACGGGTGGGAAGTCGGCAGGACAGAAGGAGAGAACGAGTGATCATTTAGCTCATTATGTGGGTGTGGTGGAGAGGACGTATGTTTAGGGCCCAAGAGCAGGTCCCGCGCCTGTTGGTGGGGTGACCTCCAGCATGGTGTTCCACCCCACACGGCTGGTTTCCTTATCTGTGATCTGGCGGAGCCGTGGCGATGGCGATGGGACATGGGACATGAGGGACCTGTCCCAGGACCTGCATGTCAGCAGACTGTCCACCTCGAGGTCAGCGAGGCTCAGCGTGACACGTGTGGAACTGGGAGGCCTGGTGCTCTCTGGGTCACCCCGGGCCATCTGTGACCGTGTGGCTCCGTCTCCTCTAAGACGACAGCCGGACAAGCTGTGTCATGCTTGCTGGCCACTCTAGAAGTCTGCCCTCCTCATCTTGGTGACGTGGGACACGGCTCAGCCAGAGTCCAGCCCCGGAGGAGCAGCCGCCGCCAGTTTGCCCGAGGGAGGCAGGCAGCCTGAGGCAGGGCACGGGCTGTGTGGTGGCCCCGGAAGGCGGTGTCTGCGATTAGGATCTGCCTCTGTTCGCCTCTCACAAAACTCATCCGATATTCTCTCAAATTTTGTGGCCTAACTGGAAACGTTTACAAGTCCCTGCTCCTTGCTCGTAACATGGGGAGGGAGGGAGGAGGAGGGTCTTAGACTCCAGCCCACCTCTCTGGCTTCCTCAACGCCTCTGGACAAGGAGGCGACATTACCCGACACCAAGGAGGGCTTCACATGGGGGTCCTACAGGCCAGCACTGCTGCCCCCACTTGGCCCAGACAGCTGGAAGGACCGAGTGAGTCGTGGGTCCTGTGCTGACCCTCCTTCCCTGGGGACAGCCTGGGAAGGGGGCTGGCCTGCCGGCCCCTAGATTCCCAGAAAATCCTGTGTTTGGGCTTATGGAGGAATTTCTCGCCTTCCCTTTCTTCCCTTCTTCTGAGTGGAGGCCTAGAAAGCCTGATGCCTCAGAGCCAGGGCTGCTTGTCCCCCAGAAACAGGTCCATCCTGAAATCTCCAGATTCCCTTTTACTACTTGGGCTCTTAATAAGTGATCCTGCCCATTTGGTGTGCCAGTCCCATGTGGTTAGTGGGATATTTTGTTAAGATGAGCATCTGGTCCAGGAGAGCTTCATGGGTTTCAGCTGGATGGTGGGGGGGACCAGGGTTGTCTTGTGCCTCCTTCAAATCCACTCTACAGCTGGCTCAGCCGGCGACCCCTGGCGGAGGGAGGCCAGCCTTACATGTGAGGCTGGGGCTCTGTGCTGCCTTTGAAGGGGAGCCCTAATTGCCAGCTTTGATTGCATCGGATTCACTGGTGGGTTGGGCCGAATTGGGGCTGCCTGGCCCGGCCCAGTCTCAGCCACAGCCCCGCAGTGAAGCCTTAGATGTGGGAAGGCTCCAGGCTCCGGATCCTCATGCCTGTGGTTTCTTGAAAAGAAGCTTGATTTGACCCGTTTTGTGTCTGTAAAGCAACACCGTAAGGCCCCCATTTCTCCCATTTGGAGGCAAGACTTGTCTGCCCGACGACCCTCTATTTACAGGAGCAGACGGGTTCACACCGCCTTATGTGATAGCGAGACAGGGTCTCCGCCAGTCTCTTTCAGTACTGGTTACCCTGTGCCCAGAGGAGAGCATCCCGGGGGGGAGTCCTTCTTCGGGTGGCAGTTGCGTGGAGGGACTCTGGGCCAGCTCTGCAGGAGGATTTGTGAGAGGACTACGCTCAAGAAGTCACAGCGGGAAGACGGGAGAGAAATAGCTTATTAGGAGATGAGATTCTTTCCAGGGAAGCTGCATGCTATCCTTGTGGTAAATGGCCGCTCTGGACAGCCAAGTCTGTCTGAAGAATTGTGTTATTGTGCTCAGCCCGAGAGGGGAGGTGGGGAGGGCACCTTGGGGTGAGGCAAGGAGGGGAAGGGAGGACCTGCTGAGCTGGAAGGGCAGAGTGCTACAGACTGGAGGGGTCAAGCCCTGCTCGGGAGTCGGGGCGACAGCTGGGCCACAGAGCTGGGTCTTTACACCCCTCACAGTCAACCTGTGGCTGTGGATGGGGTCAGATCCCAGCAGAAGGGCCATTTGCCTCCTTCAGCAGACAGACACTCCTGGCTGCTACTGGCCAGTCCTTTCTGAAGCACAGCACTTGCCTGGCTGCTGAGAGCTCCTAGCCCAGGGCTGCACGGCCACCCCTTCCTCATCAGGACGAGCAACCCGGACCAAACCTGGGGTCAGTAGAGTCTACAGGCCCCTCACCGCCGTCCCCCGCTCTGCTCCTTTCTCCTTGGAAAGGTAGGGCCTGCGGAGCTCTCAGATCCTCCTGTGTGAAGGATCTGTACATGCTTCCGTTATTAAAAACCACAACGCCGCAGTGTGTTTTCCTGTTACACGGGAAAGGGCTAATTTTGCGGGCAGGTGGGAGCTGAAGTGGTCCTGGAGCCCCTCCTCAGCTGGCGGCGTCCTGTGGCTGGTTCCCTCCGTTCTGTCTTTGTTGGGTTTGTTTCTTCAGTCACTGCGCAGATACAGATAGCGTCGTCACAGTCCCATCAGGCATCTGGAGGGACAGCATTGGCAGTCGCTGCAGTAGTAATAACAATGGCCGACCATGGTAGCTAGCCCTGATAACAGGGCTCACAGTGCGCCCTGCGCCTTCCCAGCCCCCTAAGGGCTGTAGCCGAGCCCGTGCTCACAGCAGCCGGTGGGGCGGCATCCCCCTCAGCCCCACCCTACAGAGCCCTCTCCTTCCAGCGATAGCACTGTGTAGTTTGTAACTCGCTGTCCAAAGTTTGTTTCATCGTTAAACTATTTCAAAGCTTCCTTTTATTTCTCCTCTATTGTTTCTTTCCTCTAATGTCACTCAAATAAAAAGCATAAAGGAATCCACTATTATTTAGAATTAACTTTTTACAGGAAACTTCTGCTGTCACAAGGACAGCGCACAGGCACAGAGAGCTGGGACTCGCCTGGGGCGTCGGGGAGCCAGGGCAGCTGGGTGTTCAGGCCTGTGGCTGTGGGGCAGCCCCCCAGCTCAGAGCAGGGAGGCAGATGCTTTCGGAGTGCAGGGACTGGACTTGGGGATGCGTTCACCTTCCTTGTGTCTTTGTCTCATCTTGTTACAATGTTACATGTTAGTCACTCTTTAAAATCTCAGATCATTAAAGCTTTTGGGATTTGGGGATTCTCCTTTTTGAAAGTCATTACCATGAGCAACATCCAACAATTACTTAAATAACTTGCCACGTGTACCTTCCAAGGCTAACATTAGAGAACCTAGTCGTTGTGAAGGAAACCAGTCCTGAGAATTGTAAAGTCTTAAGTACACCCCGCTGCAGCGTGTGCGGTGCGCTGGTCACTGGAGTGTGGCTCAGTCCTGTGTAGAACCACACGATGGCTCCCCACAGTGGATGGAAGAGACCAGACACTTGAGAATGACGAATCTCCCTGATCTGGCCATCGCCTGCCTCCAGATCCATGTTTGGACATTCCCTCCTGATGTTTTTCAAACATGTTTCTGCTTACCATGACTCCAAGGATTAAATGCGCTTCACATCATCACCCTGTATATATGTATGTACACACATGTATGTACATATACCTGCATATACCATACATATACCCTGTTCATACGTATACACGTACACACACGCATATACCATACGTATACCCTGTTCGTACATACATACACACGCATATACCATACATATACCCTGTTCATACATATACACGTACATATACCATACATATACCCTGTTCGTACATATACACATACACGCATATACCATACATATACATGTACATACATACACATGCACCCGGAACCAAAGTCAACATTGCGGTAACGTGTACTCACTCTCTAACGTAGTCTGAGGCTTTGGGGCCACCATAGGGCAGTCCGTGTTAGCCGTCACCAAATCAGCAAAGTGGAGTAATTAAATGCAGAGGTCTTAAGATGTATGCCATGTGCAACAGAGTTTAGAATCTTTTAAAGGCCTGTGGCAAACTCACACTGACAGCATTTCATTTGTTCCTTCTTGAGGTGGAAAACGAAGCTCATTCCCAACGTGCAAAGCCAAGGCAGCGACCCCAGGACCTCTTCTGGAGATGGAAGCTTGTTGAAAACCCAGACTGTGTCCAGGGCTTGCCCAGCCGACCCCAGAGGAGAACTGACACCAACTTCACCCTGAGGTCACTGCTCGAGACTCTGATCCATAAAGACAATCACTGCCAACCCCCTTTCATCGACTGCAAGAGCCAAGTTCCAAAATACAGCATAAAAGGTTTCTCAGAAGAAAGGTATAAAGCACACGAGAATGCCGGCAGGCCCTGGGCCGGCTGAGCAGCTCCCCCCTCATCTCCGGGCATTTCCCAGAGCATCTTGCATCCGTACCTGAACCCTTTGGCAAGGACAGTAGCTTGGCTCCCTTCGCCTGCCGCAAGCAGCTGGAGCCGGCAGCCAGCACACCCCCCGGTGTCCCGGCGGGGGAATGGGTGCAGGAGTCCCTCCTTGTTCCTTTCTTCGTTTTCCTTTCTCCTCTGGCTTCTCTTTAACAGTGCAAAAGGATCAACCTTATGTTTGCTTCTCTTTTTTTTTAAACTTGAATTTTTTTTTAATTTACACTTTTTAGTTTTAACTTTCTTTGTTGTATATTTTGCTAGCTATGAGCTTTTAAGTAAAATTCAAAGATCTGGAAAAGTTTGAAATAAAAACAAAATGAAAAGGAGTCTTTTCTTGAGCAACATCTTCTCCGATGAGTGGCTTCTCTGTGATCAGCTGTAACAGGCAGTGGCCTCTCCTGTCAGTCAGCTGTCCGGTAGAGCCACGTCACTGCAGCAGCCACGTCCACTGTGCTGGGAGCAGGCGGCAGTCCTGTTTCGTTTTATTTTCTTCCGATCTCTTCTTTTTTTAAACAGTAAGCCTTCCCAGATACTCTCAGCAGACCCATTTGCAGTGAATTTTCATTTCCTTCCTTCTTACCCCTTGTAAAAAGCCCAGCACTTGAATTGTTCTTACTTTAAATGTTCTGTATTTGTATCTGTTTTTATTAGCCAATTAGTGGGATTCTATGCCAGTTGTTAAAATAAGCAATGATGTACCCATTTTTTTTAAATAGCAAGGCACAGCCTTCACCCACAACTGTCATCTAACGTTTGTCATTCCAGTTTGAGTTAATGTGCTGAGCATTTTTTAAAAGACGCTTTGTAATAAAACATTAAAAAAAAAATGTCATTTTTTAAAGAGTGGAGTTCCTGATAATCTGGAGTTGGTAATGGTGAACTGAGTCCACAGGCCAGGCCGGAGCCAGCCTGTCCACATCGGGGGCGCTGCTGGTGCAGCCTCCTCTGGGGACGGGCCAACACCTGTCTCCAAGACATGCAGTCCTCAAAGATCCCTGTACAGCCTGGACCTGCCACTCCTGTCCCAGCCGTGGCTATGAGTCAGGGCCAAAGGGAATGATGAAGTCGCCAGATTCAGATGGGAGTGATGCTCTTCGTTCCGGAGCACCTCAGACGTCCCCACGGGCTCCAGCCGTCGGCCTCGGATGCTCACAGCAAGTGTGCGGGTACTTTCCATCTTCATAGCTTGCTCGTTCTCAAACCAAACTGGGCTCCCCAAATCAAGCTGTCCCTGTGCTGAAGGTGTTAACTCCCACTCATCTCTCCAAAGGCAACATTTTCCCAATTTTGAGTTTGTATTCCATAATTTTCCTTTTAAGCTTTCGTTATACTAGTATGTAAGTTGCTATCTGACAGCAAAAATTGTTTTAAGTTTAAAACATCAGTTATTTCATGGTCTTCCACAATAGTTTTCCATCCTTTTGGTTTGAGAACCATTGGTGCCACTGGTCTAACTTCAATCTCTGGCTGAAATTCTAGTTCTGTTTCTTTTCTCCAGCCTTCAGTACAGCTGGGGCACAGCTGGCTGCCATGCTTGTAATAACCTTCCGCACACTGTGCTTGCAGATCGCCATTAAACCGCCCCTCCAGTTTCTCTTCCAAGCTAAGTAATCCCAAGTCCTTGAACCTTTCATCATCGGCCCTTTAATCATTTTCATTACTATCCTCTGGAACCTCTCCAATTCCTCTTCATTTAGTCCTAAAACTTGAACCAGGGGAGTAAAGTACATTCTGTTATAAAGGTTTCATATTCATTTGAAAGTTGTCTGAGTTTTCTTAATGTACGTGAACCAAGTAGTTACAACCGTCTAAAGCTGCCTCCATGCTCTGTTCCGGAGTTCACTAGAAAATCCAAAGAAATGGAGTGAGAGGTGACATTTAACTGTTACTGTTTGAGAAAAAAAGTTACAGCAACACATTGGCTCTTCTGGAACTTAGAAGGGAACGGATTAATAATAAAGGTCTGTCCATTAAGTAAACAGCTAGCACATAGAGCTGACAATCAGCTGTGGCCAGAACCCACTCAGGTCCTCTCTCCCTCGGTTCTTCCTCCTCTATTTTTATGACACCAAAAATGAGTAAACAATGTTGAAAGAATGGGCTGTTTGGTTCCTCTGAGCCAGTTGTTCCTTCCACAAACTTGTTCCCCTCCTAGTTTTCTATACTCCTTCCAGAATAACTTTTCCCAAATAACTTTGGTGTCACAACACAGGGCACATTATTGGCCCATTCTGCCCAAACCCTGCTTTCTGCAAGCAGCCTGTCTGGGGAAGGAGAGTCAAGAGTCGCCCAGAGGTACAGCCCAAGGAAGCCATCCTGGGGCATCTGTGGGCAGAGGGACCGTCTCCCACCACTGTTCCTGTTGATCTCAGAGTGACGAGTGACGTGGCCCCTTCCCTGCAGTAAGTGCAGAGCTGAACTGTGTGCCAGGAGAGGAGGATGGGTCAGCTGCTCTCCGGAAGCCGAGCCTTTCTCTGAGCTCACGGCTGGCACGCTGGTCCCTACAAAGGGGTGTTTTCCTTCTGGTTTTAGTTTGTTTGGTTGCTAGCCTTGCTGGCAACTACCTGTTTAGCTGGAAGGGACCTTTGATAAGTTTCACAACTACAGCTGTCCTAAGTACAGTAATTTTTTCCTCTATAGTTTGGTCTAAGGCTGCAACAATATGAAAACCTCTAAGCAGGGGCCCATGAGCAATAACAAGATGTCTGTGTGGCTTTCCTTTTAAAGGAGAAAAGTCATGAGGGAGTAATACATGGTTTTGACAGAAAAGAGAAACTTAAAATTCCACATGACATAGTTGTTCTACAAATTACATTTACTATGTCTGACACAGGATGTTGTCTTTCGTACATAGAAACCTGGGGAACTTTAAGAGCTGCCCTGTGAAACCTAACTTCTAGTTCTGATAAGAGGTTAACATCCAAAGTATATAAAGAACTTATACAACTCAATAGCAAAAAACAAACAATCTGATTAAAAAATGGGCAGAGGATCTGCAAAGACATTTTCCCAAGGAAGACATACAGATGGCCAACAAGTACATGAAAGGATGCTCAACATCACTAATCATCAGGGAAATGCAAATCAAAACCACAAGGAGATATCACCTCACCTGTTAGAATTGCTATTCTCAAAAAGACAAGCGATAAGTGCTGGGGAGGATGTGGAGAAAAGGGAACCCTTGTGCACTGTTGGTGGGAATGTAAATTGGTGCAGCCACTGTGGAAAACAGTATGGAGGTTCCTCAAAGAATTAAAAATAGAACTATCATATGATCCAACTATTCCACTTTTGGGTATTTATCCAAAGGAAACAAAAACACTAACTTGAAAAGGCATCTACACCCCACGTTCATTGCAGCATTATTTAAAATAGCCAGGATATGGAAACAACCTAAGTGTCCACTGATGGAGCTTGAGGGCAGTATGCTAAGTGAATTATGTTAGAGAAGACAGCTACCACATGATCTCACCTGTATGTGGAATCTAAAAACAAAAACAAAAAAACCCGGAACTCACAGATAAGAGAACAGATTGGTGTTTGCCAGAGAGGGGAGAAGGGATGGGTGAAGGGGGTCAAAAGGTACAAACTTCTAGTTATAAAATAAGTCATGCGATGTCATGTTCAGCATGGTGACTATGGTTAAGAATACTGTATTGCATAGTTGAAAGTTGCTGAGAGTAAATCTTAAAAAGTTCTCATCACAAGAAAAAAAACTTTGTAAATATATATGGTGATGGATGTTCGCTCGACTTATTGTGGTGATCACGTCACAATTCAAACAAATATGGAATCATATTGTACACTTGAAACTAATATAACGTTCTATGTCAGTTATACCTCAATTAAAAAAAACACCTAACGACATGTAAGTTCGAACTGCTTTTTAATAAAAACTGAATAGTTTGACTGCATCTTACTACTAACAGAAGAATGTGAGTTTGAATGCCGCTCACGTGCACGTACTGTGGAAACAGCAAGTTCCCTGGTGGTGCTGGCTGCCGCCTAGTGGAGACCATTTGGAAGGTGCTGTTCACCGTGTAATGGGAAAACCTAGGGCACCTCACTCTGCAGCTGGGAGCAGTTCTGGGGGAGGAGACGAGCAGAAACAGTGTGCTGAGAGCTGCTATTTAAAATAAACATTACTAGCACCATCAACCTAACTTAGAACTTTACACATATTAGTTAGGTAACACAGAATTAGTAACAGAGTAAAACTTGAAGAACTCAAGTGAACACTGGTAGTTTACTCGCCCTTGTTGTGGGAATAATGCTAATGTTCTTGATCATCATCAGTGTTGGGATCTCAGGAACCTGGTGTTAAAAGGAAAGGATGGATGCGTTCATCCAGTACATTCTTCCTGAGCACCTGCCCAGGGGCTGCTGAAGTGACTGCACACTGGTTGTAAGGTTGTCCACCATCTGCACTTGCTGTAGTGTACAAGCACCCTCCTCCCCGCAGAGCAACGTGCACTTGAACAAGCAGGCTCCTGTCGTAGGAAGGAGGTGGTGTAACGGGAAAGCCCAGGTTTGGAGGCGCACCGAGCTGGACGGCGTCCACTTCCACAGCTGTTGGGTGGGGTCCCACCGACCTCTACAAGGGACGACGAGAGGTGAACGAGGGAGACACCTGGCACAGAGGGAATGAATTTCCTTCCGAATTGCTTGAGCTTTCTTGTCCAGTGTAAAAACTGTTTTTGTATTGTCTAGAGCTAGAAAGCATCTGAGCATACTTCTTCTGCCCATGGAGGCAGCTGGTAACCAGGACTAACCAATCTGTTTTGGACCAACAATCAAGGAAATACTTATACAAAAGGGACAGAGTCTGGATTTTATTGGTCATCTACGCTGATGTGTTCATTAAGTATTTTTCTTAATTTATAACAGCTTGAGATGTTATCAGCTAAGTTCATTAAGTTTTTCGTCTCCATTAAATGTATGGGAGAAATTGGTAGAAAATGTATTATTTACCAGATGGAGTGAGAACACTGCATAGGAAGACTTAATCCCACAACTGTTCCTCGTAGTCACAGAGGAATTAGTCATTTTCTCTTCTCCGCCTTCGGTGGAATCATTGAATTATGTTCTACGCTGTCCTGATCTCTTCTCCCATCAGGTAGAAGGTATGAGGTGACCACAGTCAAATGGAGCCCCACTAACTGGCCCGTTTGCTGGCACAGGTCCTTTCCAAGTTAGCTCAGACCCCACTACTCTGAACTGGAGAAAGGTAGCGCTGTTTCCAGTGTGGCCTGCCCTCCGCGCCAGCTCTGGAGATGCCCGTCAGAACTCACTCAGCAAGGCCCATGTGGGGCTCCCTGGGGGCTTATGAGAGCCCAGAGGTGCCTGTGACAGTCTCACCTGCCTCCCACGTGCCGCTCCAGTTCTAAGGCTCCGATTAGCTGGGACTGTTCTTCCCTCTGGTGCCTGGTCTGAGAGAACTAACCCACGAAAACCGGCCTGTCTCCAGGTGCTCTCGACCCAAATGCAACACACAACGCTGTGGTCACTCCAACTTTCATTCTGGAACTTGATGAAGATCGTCTCTTTTCTCCCAAGTCTCTCCCCCCAAATAGTCTCTCCAGGCAGTAGGGATGGGGAATTTCACGTGGAGATCAGAGACCCACGGAGGCTGTGGTTTCTGGGGAGGGCGGGCGCTGCCCACTGCCTGCGAGTGAGTGAGACGTGCTCTCCCTCCCGGACTGCCCAGCATTTGGGATTAGCTGTGATTTTAACAAAACGAGGCTATGAACTATTCTCTCCTAGCAGAAGACAACCCCCAACGCGCGAGACTCAACAAGAAAGGGAGGACAGTAGAGAAAAATCAAGAGATCAGCATTAATAACTTTACCATAGGCCTGTGACTTATAAGTCATGCCAGCTCCTGGCAGAATCCATCGGAGACTGAGGGGAGCCGATTCCCTCACCACATCCCCACGCACGGCTGGTTCTCAGACGCAGCTGTGTGCACAGGCTCGTCTCCACCAGCATGCGGACAACTCTGTACTGACTCCCTCTGTTGTGTGGCACATTCTGACACCAGATCAGCAAGAGCATCTCACCTGGGGAGTAGCTGAGGGCAGAGGCATCTTCTCCTGGCTGTAGTCCGAGGGCTGACCACAGCAGGCCTGAACAACAGCCTTCCCGCTGGGCCCGCCCAGTCCTACCCCCAGTCCACGTGCTGGAGGCCACGGGTGCTTGGCACCCTCACGCTTTTAGCATTGAGGCTAAGAAGCTCTGGAAATCTACTCTCGCCAAGTATCTGCCAAAACTTCCACGGAGCTCGGAATGAGCCGTTTAGAGTTCCAACTACCTGCCCAGGAGACAGCTCAGATGTGTTCTCCCCCCAGCGCTGGTCTGGGGGCTTCAGTTTCCATCTCCTGACCCTGGTGGTTCTGAGTCAGGTGGCTGTTTAGGAGGAGGCGGCAGGAGGCAGAGTCCAGGAGGTCTGCCCTTCTCACGCCTGCTCACCTAAGAACAGGCGACGTGTTTCTGGTGGAATACCCCAGGAAGGGCATCTACAGTGAGGCTGCAGGGCCTCGCTGCGCTGCGAGTCGCTCGTGCACTGAGGTGTCCCTGCCCCACAAGGGGCTCTGCCTTGACCAACCCCATCTCGAGAGGAGAAGTCTGACTCTTCTGCTCACAGCCTGCCATTCCCTGATTACCCTCCCCGTCAGGGGAATCCCGGGAACCTCTCTCCCACGCACTGGCTTCTCTTCTGGGATCTTAAATCATCTGCAGTCTGCGGCCCACACAAAAAACAAACATAACTCCCTTGAGTGACAGCCACTCTTCAGCTCCCTGCCACATCTTCCTGCCTTTCCCTCTGACGAGGCTTGGACAGACTTTCGGGGCAGCTGCGGGCGTGGAGTCCATACTCCAGCACTCATCTTTTTACCCAGGGGGCCCCCACAGCATAACTTCTAAGACTCGCTTATAAGACTCGGGCCTGCTCCCAACCTTCAGCCCACTCCCCCCAAGTAGGTCATGTTCAGAGCTCTGTGAGCCTGCAGGTTCCCAGGAACTGTGGCTTCCTTCCAAATTGGGCAAAGAGGAGCGAGGTGGTCACAACTAGCCTGTTACCCCAGGCAGTGTGCCCAACACCTCACGTCCAGCATCTCCTCTGCTCCCTGACAACCCTATGGGACAGGCTCCCTCGTTCTGCCCATTCTACCAGATATATCCAGAAGACAAATGGCCCCCTGGGTCACACAGGTAAAGAGAGTGGAGCTGAGTACTAGAACCCAAGTCTGTTTAATTCCAAAACCGATGGTATTAATCATTTACACAGATTAATTCTGTAACAGCTACACTTGGTGATTTTAGATGAAACATTGAATAGAATTTGTATCAATGATGGGATTTTTCTCTCAGGAGTTAAAATTTGTTCTGCCATAGAAATAAAAACTCTGATTATGAAATATTGAGACATTTTGAAAATAGAACTTACACAACCAAATGGGTTGAAAGTACAGTAATGCTTCCATTGTTCAAAGCATTTTTTTAGATTATTATTTATATAGCATCAATGCCTGTTTACAGGAAAATCAGTCCCACAAAATTATAGCCACTCCTTGTATTTTGGTAAGACTTAACTGGTTAGTTGCTTAGGCTGCAGTGTTAAAGGGATTAAAACAAGGTAGAACAAGACAAAAGCTGGTTTCAGATGTGTGAGAAGTACAACTTGCAAACCCAGGGAGAACGCATAATTAGCGCATGTTATATAAGCCGTGACTAACGTGTTAGTTCTACCATCTCAACAATCGGTGGTCGAGTCTCACACGAGCTTCTGAAAGCTGACGTGTTGGAGTTGAAGATGCACTATACAACGGCACCCGGGGGATCGTTTTATTCCACCAGAAGTTTTAGAGTGACGTTCCTCAGTTCCCAGCTCTGGTCCCACCGTACCCCCACGCTGCACCGTTCAACAGTCCCGACTGGAAATACACCTTACAGTTGATGTCAAAGGAAGTCAGCCAACTGTTCTCTCCTAAGAAACTGTCATTAACAGTGAATCTCATGGACACTAACGAGCCACAATCTTTATTTTACAAAGGCATCCTCATAAGCATTAAAACTACTCTCCAGAGACAGCCTTCAGCTGTGTTTATAACTGAAATCCAGGTGAGGGCTCCGCTCAGAGGCTCGCTTGGTCTTTTTCAACCAGCCATTTTATCAGTTGCATGGTTTCCTTTTTAATCTCAAGTTTTCATTGAGATTAAACACATCACTAAGAGGGAGGACAGGAGAGAAGGGAAAAAGTGTCCTCTTCACCTAAAACCAGGGAGTCTCTTTCACGATCTGGGAACAGGCCCCTGCTTGCTGTCTGGAGGCGAGTCCAGGGAGGTGAGGAGAAGGAGCAGTGAGGCCATGCCCTGCCGCTCCGGCCCCACGCGCCCTTCTCCTGAACCAGGGCTGCCAGAGCCTGCGGACGCCGCCTCTGCAGCACAGGCTGCAGCAGACGGCAGCCCTGGGTCCTTATTTGGAAGCGGAGGACCTGATTGAGACCTTCCTTCTCCCCACCAGGGAGAGCACAGATATGGAGTAGGGGCTGGGAAAGCCACGCTCGACTCTTGTGTTTAAGAAAAGGATGTCCAAAATTCCTTCCTGGTCCCAAACACGAGGCGTGGAAAGGATTTTTTGAAAATGACAGAAGAATGTTCAAAGGCCAGGCCTTTGACTTTCAGGTCCGCTCAGAGCGCATGTAAAAGCCTCAGCCAGAAAAAGACTGCTGCCACCCCACCCTCGCACCCGGCAGGCTGACAGTCACATCTCCTGGAACGCAGTGGTCAAGAAAGAGCCCTGCCACGTGCAGGACAGGGCCCACGTCCTGCGGACACTCCAGTCAGAGAGAGAAGGATATGAAGCCCCACTAAGCCCAGGGCTCACGTCAAAGGTCGAGAGCCAGCCTGAGAGTGAGCAGGGCCATCAGACCACAAGGGGAACCGTCAGTCAGGGAAATGGCGGTGGCTCCCAGGTGCTTCCTTTTTCTCGTTAGGAAATGGTTTATAAGAATAACCTAAAAGTTTCCTAAACCAGGTTCTATATGTGGTAGAAATACATGTATATATTTATTTCCCATTATGCTAAAGTTAGATTCAAGTAAAAAAAATTAATAAGCTCCCTTTTATCAATCATGAAATGGAGGGGAAAAAATTCTCTCAACCATTAGAACTGTGACCCAGGACACCAAATGGGATGGCCATTTTGGGGACAGTTCTGTTTGAAAGTTTGGATTTAAGATTTTCAAATTTGCTGTTTTGTATTTAATTTTACCATGAAAACCTGGTTCTAATCCTGGCTCTGCTACAAAATTCTGGTGACCATGGGCACATCACTTACAGTGTTAACGTGGCCACTGGACCTCAGGTTTATGATGTTTTCCAGCTTCAAAATTCTATCTTGGAAGACACTTTCTCAAGCCAATGATTAAAGGCAGCTTATGTTCCATGATTTTTCTTTGTTGGCAAAGAAGAAACAGATGTTCCTTAAAAGCTGTTCTCTGTGCCTTGTTGTTGCTTTCCTGGTAGAAATATGGAGTGGGCGCGGCCGCAGCCCGGGCCTGAAGCCGGCTCCTGCCGCCCTCCTCGACGCCGCGGTAACGCAGCAACAGGCCCAAGGGGCCCGGCACGGCCCTTCCCTAAATTATCAACCTTTGCTTTTACAACCATTTAAGCACATCATGATTTTAAATTATACATATGTTTATTTCAATTTAAATTTTCACAGATTAAAAGACTGCATTTCATTAGAGTCAATTTATAGGCAGTTTGCAGCAATGATTTCTCATGGAAAAAAAGAGAGAGACAGACAGTAATCATCCAGATTTCTGATATGAATGAAACCCCTTCCCGCAGACCAAGCACACGGAGATATTCCCCCGGATCCAGCAGCAATGTCTTGATGACGAGTTGAAGAAGGACGTGACATCTTATGTCACACCCAAGACGCCAGGGTACGGCCTGAAGCTGCAGGAGCCAGTGTTCCACGCAGGCCAGAGGCAGCAGCTGCTCTCGGCAGCACCTCAGACCCGCTCGCCAGAGTCGACCGCTTGGACTCTCCCACTGCAGTGAGGGACACGGCACGATCTCGGAGGAAGCACTTTCCCCTTCACAAGGGGACGGATTCAGGCAATTCTTTACGAAAATGACAAGGTTCAAAAGAAATGTTTGCTCCAAGGCACCAAGGGTGTAAAGCTTTTTAGAAAATACACAGCAACAAACAGACTAAAAAAGAGATTAATTCTCAATGAAGGAACCTGCTATTACGGTAACTAGTGTAAATAATTACTTCAGGGAGATTACAATCAGAATGCACAGGAACAGACTGCACGGTGTGAGGGAACCTCTGACCGGAGGGCATTCCCGGGCACTGGGAGGGCTGCTGTGCGTGCTTACGGGGGTTCCTCCCGGAGCCAGAGAAGCTTCGCATCACTTGTATTTGTAAAATCCTTCTCCAGTCTTCTTGCCGAACTTGTTCTCTGCCACCAGCTTGTTCATGGACGTGCTGGGCTGAAACAAGGGGTTCTCTGCATCCATCTCATGCCACCCTACCGAGAGAAGGGAAAAGGGCTGAGGATGAGGTACTGGGTTTATTTTCACGTCCTGGCACTCCCAGGGCAGGTCTGGAGGCAGAGCTTGGGGAGAAGTCCCTCCTCTGATGTGGGGGAGCCCCTCGGGCGTGGTGCCACTCAGGGGCAGGGGCAGCTGAGCTGGTGCAGCCGCAGGGGCCCAGAGCCAGTGTCCTGCCCCCGGCCGCACTGCTCGAGTCCTGGCTCCTCCAGGGCCCTCCTGTTTATCCAGTCCTTGCCTGGAAATCACTGATGCCCCAGGTCCAAGGACACAAACAGAACCCGTTAATCCACTGGTGGGACCCCTCGGGGGCACAGCAAAACAACTTTCAGAACACATGCTAAAAAGCTGAATTTGCTACCACTGGGATCTTGCACCCTCATAAAATCCAAAAGTTCAGGCTTCTACTAGAACTCTCGTTACTCCTCCCAAATACATAACTATTTTTTGTCAAATCTGGTAGTCTGAGCTACATTCATCTTCAGTAGTCCAATTTTAACAATTATCTTCACCCTGTCCTCAGAGCCACTATAGTGAAACGGGTACGTTTTTAATGGCCGAGTGTCTCCACTGCAGGGGAGGTTACACAGACAGCTATGTTGACAGCAGGACATGGCGCAGCCACGTCAATCTCCTGGTGCTGATCCTGGCCTATGGTTACGTGAGATGGAACCACTGGGAGAACTGGGGACAGGGGCACACAGGACCTGTCTGTGCTATATTTGAAACTTCTTGTGAAGCTATATCTCAAAATGAAAAGTTAAGAAAAAAGTTACTGTGTGAGGAGACACTAGGCAGTCACGTTTTTCCTTCTCCTGCCATCTGCTAACTTGAATCTTTAAGCTGGTAGGGCAGGACTCTGGAAGGTCCTTTATAAATTTCTTTTTTAAATAGGCTTATAATTGATAGTTGAGAGACTACCTCAACCCAATGACAGACAGACAACAGAGAATTCCAGCTCCTACCGTCCAAGATGAACTTCGTGGTATCCAGCCCAACGTAATCGAGAAGCTCAAATGGGCCCATGGGGTACCCAGCGCCCAACTTCATAGCAGCGTCGATGTCCTCCTTAGACGCGTCCCCTAGGAGAAGAGGGTAGCGCTGAGTCCCCACCATCCTTCCCCCGGCTCTCTTGGTCACGCGGTTAGTTCCAGAATCACTCGAGTTCTACAGATCTGCAGATTCAAAAAACACCTGCAGTCCAGATTTCTGCTGTGGGTAAGATTTTGTCTCAGATGTACATGCCACATAGGTCACCAGATTCTCAAAGCCATTCCACCAAGCTATTTGAGAGGTGAATTCTAGAGCACCACCACCTTGTTCATGGGGAGAAACGTCCTGGGGGCCTGGAAACACTAGTTACTTTCTAATGCATTGGGATTTTCCAACTCTGGAGTAATTTACTAAAACATCACTTTAAGCTACAGCGTATTTTTGATTGATAAATGGACTTTTTTCAAAAAAGAAAAGAATTAACTAAACATTAAAACACTCTTACGTCTTTGTATGTATTGTATGCATACTTTCTTTTCCAGCTTTCTTTCTCATTTCTTACAAGTAACGAGTATTCCTCTGCAATCACATCACATAAACCCCTCAGTCAAGATAACGTTCAAAGAAAAGCCCAAACCTGACTGAGAACTGCCTGCACATTTGAAAGTGTGTGGAATGGACTAAGACAAGGGCTGACGTGCTTCTTCTTGGAATTTTATCCTTAACACATTGTCCTTGGGCCACAGGAGGTCTTTACAGAGAACAACTATCCCCTTTCTCCAAAATCAGGAACGGGGACAGTCTGTGACAAGTGGCTATCTAGAATTTTGTTCCAAAGCATAAACAAATGGTCAATTATACCAAAGCTAAGTAAAGCAAAAAAAAGTTAAAACACTCAGAGATTTTATTTCATATAATATAAAAACATTTCAGATTTTAGGCACGAGGAACAGGGACTACTTAAACATCTATAAGACAATATTTTTCAGGAGCATATGAAGTACTAAAGTAATGCCAAAGGATCTCAAGGCGGTTCAAGATGATTAAAATACCCACCGACGTTTCTTTTGGGTGACGTTACCAGCACTGCACTGACTCGTCACCAGAGGACCCTGAGAACTGTGACCCGGGCGTCAGCAGTAAGAAGGCAGAGAGCAAAACGACTGCGTGCACCAGCGCAGTAGGCAACCCCACTCACTCATTCAACGTATTTACATCTGTCCCGTACCAGGCACCAGGGTTAGACTGAGACAAAGGCAAACACGACGAGCACCAGGTGCTCCAATGTGATGGAGGACTCTGATGTGACCACCGAACGTGTCACCCTAACCAGGGCTGAGAGGATTCACACAGCTCTGATGGGCAAAGGTGGGGGCTTTGCTCACACTGCCGTGTCTTCACCAAAACCACCCGGGCCCAGCCTGACGCCCTGGAGAGAATCCCAAGGGAAGAGTGGGCGGGGAAGGGCATTCCAGGCAGTGGGATCAGCAGTGCAGAGGCGGGAAGGAGACAGAACGGGCAGCTAAGGGGATTCTGCTTGGAGGATTCACTGGACCCCGAGGCCTCTACAGTGTCAGAGCCCCGCTGGCTCCTCCAGCTCAGCACCTGCGGCCCCCAGTGCCTGGCACCCTCTGTCCTCAGACGACTGCAGGCCTCTGCTCTCTGTCCCCTCATCAGAGCAGACCCCCCCATATAAACCAGCAACTGCCTGGCTCCAGGCCAGGCCTCCCACACCCAATTCATCCTTCCCGGAGCTCATCTCCTGGTCAGTTCACTATGGCGTGTCCCCTCAGAAAAGGACAGGCTCCCTGGGGACAGGACTCTCACAGACACACCTGAAGCAGTCAATCAGATCTGTATTCAAGAACAGACACTGAACCTGGAGGCAAGGCTGTAATTCCAGATTCAGAGATTCACTTGACTATTTTATTTCAAAAAATAATATGAAGACACAGCATACCATAGAAAAAAATCTAAACAGTTTTACAAAGTCAGCACAAGTCTAAAAATTCTGTTCTGAGCAATTCAGAGCAAAAGAGGCAAAAAGAAAAGAGCAAGAGAAATAGAACACACACACAGAGTGGGGTGCCAAGCGGGAGTCAGTGTGGTACCGTGTTTAGACCAGCAATTCCTAACCTTTAGAGTCAGGCACTTCACTGGGAACCTGACACCCTCTCCAAAGAAAACGTATGCACACACAAAATTATGCATCGACCTTAGGCGCTCCTTGGGACCCCCATCCCCAGTTAAGAGCCCTGAACTCGAGCCAACAAAGAAAAGCTTCCTCGGTGAACTCCCAGATCTTCCACATGCCTGGAGCCTGGTACCTGCCTTGACATGCTTCTTTCGCTGGCTCGTCGGCACCACCTATCAACCATTCTCGGCATTAACAACAAACCAGGGTCACAGCAACAAGGGCCAGCACCGCAGGCACAGCCACCACGGTGCCCCCAGATATCGCCAGAGAAACCAGAGAGCAGCAGGGGGAAGACATGTGCCAGGCCACAGGGGGGAGAGGGGCAAGTGCCCCCAGGGAGAGCCCAAGTGTGAAGAGGGTGATGAAAACACAGGTGACGCCCCGAGTGGCGTGTGAGGACACTCAGGCGGGCCTGGTGAGAAAGGCAGGAGTAAGGCACGTGGTGACGACAGAGGGGCAGAGGGTGAGGAGGAAAAAGGTCCTCTGGCTAGGACAGAACCACTGAATGTCTAGAGCAGGATGCTATACAGTGACAGGTACAGGCTCGTGAGACTCCCGGGTGTCACCTGAGGAGAGGTAACTGTGTGGCCCACCACCCTGCAGAGCTGACTGCTCTGGGCACCAGCCTGTTCGAAGGTCTGGAGAGTGAGCACTGATCCACAGGGATGAGGGGGACCAACCCCACCAATCAGGCCTCAGTTACAGTGGGAATGAATAGGAACAACAGACAGGGGGGCACAGGAGCTGAGGGACCTGAGAAAGAGGGTCAACACAGAAGCCGCGAGCTCAGAGCGTCAGAGCAGTGGCGAGGGGCCGTGAAGTGCCACCAGACACCACAAGGAGTTGGCAAGAAGCACCAGTGGGGGCCGGTGACATCCTGAAAGCTGGTCAGTTGCCCAGGAGGCCCAAGTGGATGGTGACCGAGACGACTGTCCACTCTAAGGCCCCACACGTCCTTCTCCGGAGCTTCCACCACACAAAGCAGCATCCTGCTGACCCATCTACATGAATCATCCATACTCGGGGATCAACGGTGTCTGCTATGGACGAGTGTCTGCATCCCCCCAGATTCACACGTCGAGGCCCCACCCCCAAGGCAATGGTGTTAGGAGGCAGGCCTTCGGGGGGTGATTGGGATTAGACGAGGTCGTGAGGGTGGGGCCCCATGATGGGATTAGCGCCCTCTAAGAGTATGGAGAGCCTGCTCCCTCTCTCTGCTCTCCACCGTGTGAGGACGCAGCAACAAGTCTGCTGTCTGCAGCCAGAAGAGGCCCCACCGGTCCCGACCGTGCTGGCTCCCTGATCTCGGACTTCCAGCTCCAGAACTATGAGAAATCAGTGTTGGCTGTTTACACGCCACCCCGTCTATCGTGTTCTGTTACAGCAGCCCGAGCTGACCAAGACAGTGTTGTAAGGAGAAGTTCTCCCCAAGTGAGTTCGGAAAAGGCTGGGCTAAGCACAGGCACCGAGCGTCTGCACTGCGCGACTCTGCTGCTACGGCCTGCTCCCCGCCGCGTGGGGCAGTCCAGTGCGCCACCTGCTCACCCTCCTGGACATGACGCTTGTCAGCAAGCACGGCAGAGGGGGCCAGGCTGGCAAAGACAGGAGGGGACGCGGATTCCTCTGCTGCCTGAAGGAGCTCACTAAGCGGGCTGACAGGCAGGGGCAGGGAGAGCCGGGGTGACAGGGAGGAAGCGAGTGACAAAGGGGCAGGCGTGGCAGGCAAGAGAGGGACAGTCCAAAATGGCTGCAGGTGTCCAGTACACGAGCAGGCGAACGGAGACCGGATGGCGGGCGGGCGGGCGTGGAAGCCACCCTGTGCTGGCCGAAAGCGGGCGGAACCTCGAGGTGGCAGGAGGGACACGGTGAGAAGCCTGGGGTGCGACACAGGGGCCCATCCCACAGCTGGCTTGCTGGGAAACAGCACCCACACCAGTCACGGTCCCCAGCTCCTCCAGCAGCAGGTGCCCGGGCTCACAGCCCCAAGAAGGCCCTGGGGAGAGAGGCCAAGGGACAGCAGTGACAGGGAGTCGAGGGCCGGGCGGAGGCAAACGGAGAGCGCCTGCTCGTGGGTCCGAGCCCCCCAGCCTCACCTCATAGGTGACGGCGAGCATCACCTGCCTAAAAGGGGCCCACTGCTGGGGGGAGCAGAGCACAAGAAACCGGCCCTCAACCTACAGTCAGAGACACGGGCATCCCAGGGTGCAGCAACGGCACAAGACGTCAGGGAGGAAAACACCACGCAGAGGGGTCACCCACACTGTATTCCGGAACATCAACAAAAACCCGCCTTTCAAGGTCGGGCAGAATGCTTCCCACTTCCTTTGAGGTGTAATTAGGCATATTTGCTGAGAGACAAATGCAGAGGTGTTGGTTTGATCTCAGAGCAAAAGTGAGGCAAATGCTTCCATAAAACAGAGAAAAGTTTTAATATTTAACGCACATTTTGAGGAAGCAAATGTGCTTTCATCTCTGGAAGAGCTGGTGTAAATGTTTTGTTTCAAAAATGACGTTCTCAGGAGCAAGCATTTGGGAATGAGGTAACTGAGAACAATTACACTTGTTATCCAGTCCGATTAGGGCTGTTTACCTCTGAAGCAAACATGATACTACCCTTCCTGAAACACAGGGGGGAAGGCAGGCAGGGGGTACGTGACGTTCTGTAATCCAGGACCATGTCCCAGGTCTACAGCAGGGAAAATCAGTGCTTGTCAATCCACAAGTCCTAAGGAAAACATTTCAGACCACTCTGAAGGCTAAAAACTGCATCACGACGTCCTTCAGGAAGGATGGAGGGCTGTCAGAACAGTCCCCATCACAGTCATTTCCCATCACCTGTCACAGTCACAATCTCAGAACCTGAAGGCTTTAAAGGTTCCCTAGCCTAATGATTTTTACCTTATTATTATTATTATTACTATTTTAAGCAATAACCTTTTAACCAAAAGCAGAGGGCCAGCATATAAATCGGGCTGGCAAGCAATTGCTCCAGCTGGGACTGCAGGGGGCGGGTCCCAGAGCCCCATCTCAGGGGCCTCCCAGGGCCCAGGGTGCGGCGGAGTCACACAGCTAGAACACAGAAGCCCCTCCCACAGGCCCTGCGTGACAACTCCCCAGAGCAGGGCCAGGGCCGGGTCGGGACCCCTACCTCGTTCATACAGCCTGACTGCTTCCATGAGGTACGGCACCAGGAGACGGTTCACAATAAACCCAGGCGTGTCCTGTTTTAGGAGAGAGAAAAATAAAAGTTCATCTTCACTGCACTGCATCTTTTGTGAAGTCACCAGATCACCTCTTCTTACCTAGACTATGCTACCTGCAGTCATCAAGCTATACATTTTCAAAATGTGTTTTAAAGTACCAACACAGCCTTACTGCTATCTTACAGGACCATTTATCCAACAATCGTAGTACTTAAAGAAACAAAAACCCCAGATGCCCCAGGACACGGATTCTGAAATACAGGCAGATCAGGCGGAGGGGTCACTGGAAGGAGTGTGGCTTCGGGCAGCAGACCCGGGCTCCCCCTCTAATGCCCTCTGACCACGCGTCATGCTGAAACTGTGCCATCATCTGTGAAACGGAGTGATCAAGACAAGCCAGCACCCAGCTAAGATGCTGCGCACACAGCCCCACGCTCAGTGAGGCCCTTCACCCCTCTCCTCCCTCATCCCACACTCCGTCGGGGACACTCCTCATAGGAGCACTACTTGCAGGCCCCTTGGAGCCCTTGTGGGGCCTCTCAGGACTCTCTCACGCTCCACGGCGCAGGATGGCGGGGTTGGGGCAGGTGTGGGAGGAACGAGCAGCCCCCTGGCCTCTCACAGCACGCCACCCAAGACCCTCCACCCTGACCACGCACCCCTTTCGTCGTTTCCTCCTCGTGACAACCCTTCATCATCTCTCCTGCAGGCCAGCTTGGTAACTGTCTGGTGCTATTTATGTGACGCTGACGTCCACTAGGTAAGTGGCGCTCCTCTTTAACAACAGGCCGTGACCTTCCTGCAGGCAGAAATCCCTACCCCGCCCCAGGCCCTCTGCTTCGTCTCCAGCACACCTAGGCAACCCCCAGACATTGGCACGACAGAGGCCCAGACTCCCGCCTCCTCTGACAGCTGACCTGACTCCGTGCTGTGTAGGCTGGGCAGTGAAGCCACGGGTATGCACCTCCTTTACCTTTGGACAAGCTGAAACCACCCTGGCTTAGGGCTTTTTCCATCATAATAATATTCAATGCTGTTAAGGATGCAGAGGAGCAGATGCTCTGATAATACTGATGGAGTGTAAAGAGACATAGTCCTTTAATACAGCAATTTAATGTATGTAATCATAGATTTTACATTTTCATATTTATTACTCATGTATTTATTAAATATCATTTACTGTACTTACTATGTGCCAGGCATGGTTCTAAGTACCTGACAAATGTTAATTCATTTGTTCCTCATAATCACCCTGTGAGCAAGTACTATTATTACCCCTACGTGAGGTAGAGGACACTGAGGAACAGAGAGGCTAAGCAGCTTGCCCAAGGTCACACAGCTAATAAATGCCAGAGCTGGGATCTGAACCCAGTCAGGCTGGCCCCAGAGTCATGGCCTTTGCCTTTTTGCACAACGCTCTCCTGTGAAGTCTCACTATGAAGAAAGACACATTCCAGGCACATTGGTGTCCTTCGTCTATGTTGGGTGTTTGGCTAGCTGCAGTCTTGCAGGCCGAATCCAGCCACGCCTGTTCCCGTGAGGTTCTCCTGCGGCACAGCCACCCTTGCTCCCGCCTGTCCTGCAGATGCTGGGTCCCCGCGACAAGAGCAGAACTGAGGAGCTGCAAGAGACCATCTGCCCTCAGATGTTTACTGTCAGGCCTGCTACAGCAAGGTTTGCGGACCCATCCTATGTGGCTGCCTCGTGTTGTCTGGACACCTGAGCAGGGGCCTGAATCACTGACCCAGGAAGACTCCCAGGAAGTCCTAAGGTGGGGCTGACAGAAAGGCAGCTCTGCAACGATGCAACAAGGGTGACTTCCAGAGTTCCCAGCCCTGCATCTGCTGGGGCCACCTGACGGAGGGACAGGTCATCACCTCCATGGACTAATGACCACGCTGCTGAAGACACCACCGGCCCGTCCTGCCCTTCCAGGCGCACGTCTAGCTTCCGGTCTGCTCCACGCTGCTCCTCCTCCTCACACTATTCCTCCTTTCTCCACTACCAAAGCGTAAACCAGTGAGAAAGTACAACAACATCCAGTTAGTAGTGTGATTTTTAAAAATCCAGATGATTTAAAACCACAAAACTAAACAAACAAAAAACAAGATTCCCTAATAACACTACACTCCCAGCCTGGCAGGATGGGCACATCTCTCTGCTCTCTTTGCCTATTGGGGTCCCATCCACAGACGACTTACTCAGATGACTGATGAACAGGGGTTTCGTGGGTTAATACAACACTATGAGTTCAAACTGGAGAGTATTTTAGAAAGCAAAAGTATGCTATGAGAAGAACCACAATGATATAAAAGATTATGGTCAAAAAAGTAGGTGACACATTTATAAAATTCTGCAATAGTATGGCATTTCTGACACAAAAGCCCTTTTAGAAAAACTGCCAAGTCACGTAGAAGTGTAGTCCCTGAGTTCTGGAGGAACTACAGAGGAACTAAGGCAAGCAGAGAGACTGGAGGGAATTGGAACGAGGGAGGTGACAGCAGCGGGGAAGAGCCAGTCGACCAAGCTGCTTACTGAAAAACAAAACCAAACCAGAAAGCAACATTCCACTAGACAGGGCCTCGTCACCGCTGTCACCGCTGCCCGAGCAGGGTGGCTCCTCCCCTCTCGCACCACTCCCCTCCCCACCTCCCCACCTGCGGTGTTCTTCCCCAAAGCGAAGCCCCGGTTTTCTGTGGGGGTGCACGTGTCCACAGGCTGTGCCCAACACACGGGGCTCTGGCTCCCGGGGCCCAGCAAAGCGGAAGCTGATGGGGAAACAAAACCGTGGATGGAAACAGTCACTCATCAGCAGAGCAAAGCTGAGCCCGAAGCAGAAGCCCGAGTTCTCTATCCGGGGAGCCCTGGGCTCCTCTGGATCTCAGACCGTCCACCCGAGGGCCTCGGGCACACTGAGGGGTCTGGTTTCCCTGCCGGCAAACTAGAAAGAAGGCGCAGCTGGCTCTTCACAGCCCAGGACAGGCCTGCGGGACCCGTACCCCGTCTCCCCCATCAGAGAAGAACTCCACCAAACGAGCCAGGGTCCGAGGAAAACCGCCCCCCCAAGGCACCATCTCTACCTTGCAAGCAACAGGATGCTTTCCCAGGGTTTTGCTGAAGTCCATCAGAGATTCAAACGTCTTCTGGCTGGTCATGGGTGTTTTAATGACCTGGAAATGCAGCGCAGAGAAGTATTATCACCGAGAGTCAGCAAACGAATTCAATAGAACGGGTCAGGGAAACACTAATCAAAAGGGGCCACACAGGTGGCAAAAATAATTTTAGTTTCAGAATAGAAGTAAGGCTCTCAAGCCAGAAATGAAATGTTTGGCAAAATGTCCACTTTAGGACAGGTGAGTACTGCAGAATGCACAAAATCAAGGCTGAAAATAGAAACGTGTGTGTGTGTGTGTGTGTGTATGTGTGGGCGAGTTTTACAGGCTTTGTCATTGAGACAGATGTGGGTTCAAATCCCCTCGCAGCACTTACTGGCCCAGTGACCACGGGCATGTTTCTTGAAATGGAAATGACACTGAACTCACTGAGGTGAAAAGGGAGCGAGATTAGGAGGCAGAGCACTACGTGCGGCTCTGAGGAGGTGAGGAGGTGTGCGGGGCTTCGGGGGAACGCTGGCTCTGCTGGGGTCTCACTTGCTATCATTAACTGCGTCTGGGGGGCGAACGGGGTCTGCAGGAGCACGACTGTCCTGAGGTGCTCTGTGGAGTCCCGCCTCCTCCCGACACAGAGGAGGAGAGCCAAGTGACGGGCCAGGTCACAAGGGCTCTCGGGCTGAGGAGCATCCTCCCCAGACTCCACCCTCTCCCCACGGACAACCCCCTTCGCTTCAGAACAGGCTCATCCCACAGGGGGAGGCTTTCCATTCCAGCAAACGGGGCCCAAGGCTGGGGACTGCCACCTGCCAGGCCTCCTGTGAGGCGGCACCGGCACCTACAGGAGGCGGCACCAGGCCCCACGCCTGGCAGTCAGCTCTCAGGAAACGGTCAGGGAATTCCCGTCAGAAGTTCGATTTTGGCAAATGGAGAGAGAATCAGGTAAATTTAAACTTAAAAACGTATACATATAAATACATAACGTAAATGCCAGTTAAGGAACTTCAACAAGAGTCAAAGCAACAGGCCCTGCTTCTGCATCAGACCTTTCCACGAGCTCAGGCAAGTCCATCAGCCCTCGTGCCTCAGCCCTCCCTGTGAGACGGGTAACGGTCCCTGACCCGCCTCCCTCCGGTAAGAAGGCTCTATGAGCTCGAGTCTGTGCAGGAGGACAGGGCTACACAAATAAAGAGGATTATGACCGCTGGTGTGTGAATGTGCCCACAGCTTGGGGTGTGGTGGCCTGTGGTGACACCAAGGGAAGGAAATGAGTGGAGACAGAAACAGCACCATGAAGATGGGGACGAGGAAGGGGAGGAGACGGGCCAGAAACTGCTCTGCAGGCAGCACAAACTGAACAGTCCAGGGCTATTCAAAAGGAGGTGCAGAAAGTCTCCATCAGAACCCGATACGCTGAGGCAGGACAAAGGCTGCCTATAACAGAGTTTTAAAAATTGGCTTTGGGGGGAAAAAAACTGAATAAATAAAATCTTTAAAAAAAAAATGGGCCGGCTCCGTGGCTTAGCGGTTAAGTGTGCGCGCTCTGATGCTGGCGGCCCGGGTTCGGATCCCGGGAGCGCCCCGAGGCACCACTTCTCCGTCCAACGTGAGGCCGAGTCCCACGTACAGCAACTAGAAGGATGTGAACCTATGACATACAACTATCTACTGGGGCTTTGGGGGGAAAAAACTGAATAAATAAAATCTTTAAAAATAATTTGTTGGTTTAAGGAAGTCAATACTAAAAGTTTTTAACAGGAGGGATGCATATATTCATTCATTCATTCAACAAACAGAAATGTGCTACAGATATTCTGCTTACCATTTCAACACAAGAGTCTGGGGGGAAAAATACATATATAGATAAATGAGTCCAGTTCCACGGAAGAGAAGAGGCACTCAACTTATGACAACTCATTTTGGTGCTCGCCACCAGCCACACACGTGTGAGAGTTAACCAATAAAAATCGAACAAAGAATAGCACTTTTAAAAGATTTTCTAGAAAATGCTCACATTTGCTAAGCATTAGCTGTTAACAACCAACGTGCTACATTTCCAGAGACACAGACGGACGTTATCAGATAAATTCAGTCAAAAACAACATTAGAGTTTGAAGTAAATCTATAAAAAGTCTTGAGCTCCAAAACACAGGTGTACATGATACAGTCACTAAAGAAAGTAATTAGTCCCTAAGGACTGAAATGTTGAAAATCCCACCCCACTTCTCTGATCCTTCCTGCACAAGGACACAGGCTGTTTCTTCCGTTCCAGCACCCTCCCCTCGCTCCCCAACTTCACAAACAGCCCTGGGGGGCGGCAGTCAACTGGCAGAAGCTGAGCAGCAACACTAGTTGCACAGATAAGTTCCTATCGCAAGATGGGTCAGAGCTGTCACGTGAGAGAGATGACAGGAAACTACAGTCACCGTTAAGCCAGAAGGAATGCTGATCCTGGGGGGATGAGGGGATAAAGGAGGGAGAAGGGGCTTGGAGGAGGCAGCGGCGGCAAACACAGACCTCCATCCGCCCTCCAGGAAGGCCCCGCCTGGGCCCCAGGTCTGCCTGGCTCCACACGCCCACCCTTAGCACAGCAATAACTGCCCATCCCCAGAACAAATGTTACTTTAACAGCGGCCACTCCCCGGACCCTGTAATTAGCCCCTGGGCAAATTGCCACATTTCAGGTGCAAATTATCTACCGTGACTCCATAAGTCTCCCAGCAAGCAAGCGGCAGCCCAGCAGGAACGCTGGGGGCAGTCCTCCCTGGCCACGTCCCCTAGCGGGAGGGTTTGTGGCCAGGATGTTCAAGGCTATCAGGAGCTGCTCTGATCACAACAAACAGGAGACGTGCCTCATCTGGGGACAATACGAAGGCCCTGTTATGTGGGGCCGAATTCGCTCCAGGAACGGTGGACAAGGCGGCACAGCAGCTCTTGTGTAAAACCAGGCTGTCTAACAAGAACTCCATGTACAGGCTGGAGCAAACCAATCTCAGTGAGACAACGAGAGCACATGTGGCTCTCCCCTCTGCGGTCTCAACAAGCCAGTGGTCTCTAGGGCTGCCCACCCAGGCCGATCCTCTCTGCACTGCCTGTCGGCTCTGGCACAAACAAGTAAACACAAAGTGAACAGCCCTCTGGACACCACGGGTCAGAACACAGCTTCAAAGAAACAAAGCACAGGGGCCTTCCCAGGTAGTAGGTGCTCTTTCTTCCTTTCACTCTGAAGGGACAGACGATGACCAGAGAAACACAAGGACAACCTTCCTCCCATTAAAATCCACTCAGTGCAAGCCCCGCTGTCAGGGCAGGCGCGACGCAGAAAAGCAGGACTGAGAGCTGGCAGAGCAGGCAGACGCACACATGCAGACACCCACTGACCTCCACAAGCCGCATCACGGGCACTGGGTTGAAGAAATGGAGCCCGGCAAATCGGTCCTGTCTGGTGGTGGCATTGGCTATGCTTGTAATCTGCAAAGAGGAAGTGTTGCTGGCAAAGATTGTGTGTCTGTGGAGAGAAAGACGGAGGAGTCAGAATGAGTCCCATCTTTGGAAACAGGGTGCGAGGCACAAGGCAACTGCTCACTGCCAGATCTGCTGTCGGAGAAAAGGCACATCTTCACACACGTGCTGAAATCAAGTGACCCCGGTCATTTAACTTTAGAATTTTATATTAAGTAGTTTAAAAGTTACCTGTTTCAAAGTGTATTTAATCTTGACCAATCTTTCCTTAATTTTAGGCAGCAAAATTTCTCATGTCTACTTGTACTAGTTAATTTTCATGGTACGTGGGGAAAAAAAGGAGGCAGCTGCTTAACCAGCCTGTCACAAGACAAACAGCTAAGTGATCAAACACTAACGAAAGAAAGACGGTGCACCACAGACACTCAAAATAAACAAAACCGTGAAGAAACACCTGAAGCCCCAGCGAGAAACGCCTGATAACAAACACAAACTAAGATCTTTTCCTCCCAAGTGAAAAGCTTTACTTTTCCACTGAATGGGAATCAAACGAAAACAGAAGAAAACCAACATGGTCCACAAGAAGTCTGAACACAGGCAGACCTGGGAAGGAAGGATACACGTCTGTACAAGTACTCTGCTTATAAAATCTCCAGGAAAGCAGTACCATCTTCTGTTGTGGATATAAAATAATCAATTCTAAATTTTTAAAAATCCATACTGACTTAGACCGAAGTTAATTTTTAAGACCACCCATGGTGGGTGCCAAAGGCCGACAGGCAGATGGTTAACAGAGTGAGGCCCAGGCTTCCCTGCAGCACCACCTGGTGGAGGCGTGATGCTGATGCGGTCATAGCCCAGGACGCGGCCGGTCCCATACCCGCCAGACCTGGGGGCCCTGCTCACCAAAAGCAAGCCTAGGATCTGCCTGTAATCAGGGGCAGGTGGGGGGGGGGAGGGGAGGGGGGGGAGTAAGGAGAAACAATGTGGGCGGAGGAGACAGGAGCCAGGGGAGGCCCTTGTGTGTCAGCTCAGGAGAGCCCGTCACCTTCCAGGCTCTCGAACGCCCGCCTCAAACCTCTTCCCACCTAGCCAGTTTAAAAGCAGGTGGGGGCTTTTCCTGTAAAAAAGAACATTCTTAAAGCTTAAAATTCCAGTTTTCAAAGCTTCTTGCTTTCTGATCAACGAGGGAAATAATATAAACTACCACAGGGGGCGGACGATGAGAAGAACTCTGCAACCACCACGAGTGTGGCTGGCAGTGCTGTGTGGCCGCGCACCCTGACCCCTGCAGCGGGGCCACCGCCACCCACTGTCCCCAGATGTCACAGGACATCTGAAGGGCAACTCGCCCGCAAAGGGGGAAAGGCAGGCGCACCAGCTGGAGAGCATGTCTGCCAGAGGACGATGCTGCAGCAGAGCCCCGCACCATTTCCCCTGACGGGACAAACGCCCTCCCGCAGACCTCCACTCCAGCGCTGCCCACGGTCCGCTGGCTCTGCTCCTAACAATGTCTGCACCGCCTTCTTTCCACGTGAACACACTGTGCTGACACGTCAAACACACAGGGCTGTGTCGTCTTCACAAGTACACCCTCACGTCTTCCTTGAAGCACTCAGCTCTCCTGGACCGTCTTTGGTTTTTCCCTGACACTCAGGTACCAAAAAGACGACTTTTGTCTTAAACGTGCTAACAGAAAAGGGACAGCACGAGCACGACGACCATGAGCAACGCCCCCAGGCCTCAGTGTGGAGGAGACATGGGGAAGCGCAGCGGGTGGAGGAACCACGCCCTGTGACAGCGAGAGCAGGACTCATGGGCTGAGGGGGCCTCAGCCAGGCTTCTTGCCCGCACGTCTCAGACTCGGCGAGGGAGCGGTGCCCTCTCCAGGATGCGACTGCTTCATCGGGGCTTCCCCCGGAACGTCATCACTGGGACACGTTCTCACCTCCTGTTACAGGATTTAACTGTACAATCAGCAGGCGCTCAATAAAGGTGGTGACCTCAAATGGAAACACGAGCGTGGAGAAGGATGGCTGACGGCCAGAAGCAAAGTGTCCTCTATGGCGTGCCCTGTCCCATGTCACATGTGTTTTACATAATCTTAAATGAAAAAGCCTAGTTAGAGCCCTACCCACGTTAGGTGCTCAGGAGACTCGAGCTGAATTCACTTCAACAACCCTGTGCAACAGGTACCACACCCCCGCTTCTCTGGTTAGTAGGGAAACTAGTCTTAGAGTTAGAACTGGGAACGTCTTGGAAATTATCTACCCGGAACCCCTCAACTCAAATTACAGATGATGCAACTGAGGGCCAGAAAGGCTTCAGGACTGTGCAAGGTCATAGCGGGAATGGTGGGGGCTAGCTCCAGGCCCCGACTTTCCCCTAACTGTCCTTCCATTCCTCGATGCTGACACAGAGGGCAGACAGACCTGTCACTGCCACTAGGGAATGACCAACATTTCAGTAACAGGGCAGGTGTTTTATTATCCTGCAGGGCTCCCTGCTGACTTGAGAGCCACACCTCCACCCAGAGAATCTTCTGTTTCTGCCCCACGATTCCACAGCAGCCCCTAGACGCCAGTGTACAGAGCAAGAGCTGGCCGATGAGCAGAGTGAGGTACCGGGGACACAGAGGCGGTCTCTGCTCTGTCTGGGGCAGGGCCTCTCCAGACCCCAGGCCACGCAGCCCTGAGAGGTGACAGTCCAGCAGGCCTCTCTGGAGCTACTGTGAGCGTCTCTCTTTACTGCTGCTCGGTGTGGGCTGCCTAAGAATTACTGTTGTCATGTAATCTTATTCTGACTTTCAGTTCCAACCAAGACGGGTAAAGCGTGGCCAAGCACGCCACAGGAGAGAACGAATGAGTCAGTCAGTCACAATCGCCCAAAGGCAAGAGTCAGACCTGACTGAAGCTCAGGATTCTGAGAACCAGAGCTGCCCACGTGTGTAAGCTTGTAGACACTGCACGGTCCTGAGCTCCACATGCCCGACCTACGGGGCCTGGCTCTCCTCTCCCACCCTTTGCCAGGAGCCTGATAACAACTCAATGCTCCTTTAAGGCTCCCAAGAGGGTTTCGATTTAACCTAGACCAAGCTTAAATCAGGAAAGTCCTGCGGAACTCTGTGTTGTCAGAGGCACCCATTCCCTTCAATGACACCATTCTGTTTGTGCCACCCAAAAAGGGGACACACAAAACTGCTCTGAGGTTCTTCAGTGACACTTAAGGACATGCCCGAATCTCCTCCATCCTCCAGCCGGGGAGGGCTCACGACCCAGATGCTGCAGGAAACAGAGGCCTGCCCTGGGTGGACCCTTCATGCCACTGTGGGGACTCCCACTCTCGTCTGGGGACAAGGATCAGATCAGGGCAGCCCAGGCCTCGGGAAGCAAAGTGGGAGTGGGAGGATGGAGAAGAGGGAAACAGTGTCGAGTCTTCTGGAAACAGCTGTGGAGTAGTGGAAAGAGAAGTGGGCTTAGTGTCAGAAGACGCCTTCCTGGGAGAAAAGCCCGAGCCTGGGGAGGGGCCCTCAGACCCAGCAAGAACATCCAGGGGTCACGTACTCGGCGGCAAACTTGTCCAGCCTCTGGAAGAGCTCGGTCTTCACCTTCAGATTCTCTATGATGGCCTCCACCACCAGGTCCGTGCTGTGGACGACGGACGCTGCGTCTGTGCTGGTCGATATGCTGCTCAGGGTCTTCTCCACAAACTCATCACCAGCCTAATGCAGTGGGAGGAAGGAGAGGACAGTCACTGGGCTCACAGGAAAATGGTGTGTGATTTGTCGCTAAGGCACGGGAAAGAGGAGCGGGAGGACAGGCCGGCACACCCCAGACACAACTTGAATGCACCCTGAAATTGTAAGAAATAAAACTCCCTACGTTTCTGCTCACGGACGATGGCATCTCAACGTACTTCCAGACGCCAGGGCAAGAAGCGGCCTGTGAACAACCCCAACTGCTGGTCAACTATCATTGTCACGTGTAGGTCGTCCTCTTTCAAGCTCTTAGGCAGCTCTGCTCCAGTCACTAAACTGTCTGTTGGTGGTCCCCGAATTGGTCTGCTGGGTCTGTTCTCCCAGTGAACACAGTGCCACGTACTGCTCATGAACAGGCTTCCAGAAAACGTAAAAGCCCCGCTCAGCACCACATTAGTCCAAGAGGTGATGATGACCGTTCCCCTCTCACAGGAGGCAGAGAAGAGCTGAGTAAGGGCAAGAGAGAGCCGAGCTTAGCAGCCACTCATCAGATGAGAAGCGCCCCTCATGTGCCAGCCACGGGCGTTTCAAAAACATACCAGACTCAGCCTCCACTCTCAAAGAGCTGGCAGTCCCATTCTCCTCATTTGTGACTCCAGGTCTCCACAAACAGACCTCAGCTGGGGCAAAAACAGACTGTGTCTCTATCATCTGCCATTTTATTTCAAGATGTTATTTGCCCACAGGGCATCAGAATGGTCATAATCAGCAAAGGCATCCAGAATCATCATGTTCAATAGAAATAAAATGCAAGATGATAGGTGATCTTAAATTTTCTATTGGCTACACTTTAAAAAGCAAAAAGAAACAGGTAAAATTAATTTTATTTAATCCAATATATCTAAGATATTATCATTTCAACATGTAATCAATATAAAAACATTTCGATATGTTTTATACTCTTTTTTTTCTATTAAGTCTTGGGAATCGGGCGTCTACTTCATACTTCCAGCACACCTCGACGGGGACCAGCCACACGTCAGGTGCTCAACAGCCACGTGTAGCTAGTGGCTCCAGTACTGGTGAGCGCAGAGCCAGGACAATGCACTGTGTCAAGCAGGCAAGTTGAGGCCGCCCCGCCCTCCCGCGAGTCCCGGGCAGAGGTGAGAATCGTCAGGAGACTGGACTCCTGAGGAGCGGCCAGCCAGGAGCTGAGCACCCCCAAGCACAGGCACCATCTGTCCACCCTCGGGGGGCCCAGTGCCCCGCCCACAGGGGCAATGGGCAGCAGTGTGCAGAGTCAACAAGCGAACAATGCAGGGTGTCTGGGTTCAGACTCTCTGTCTTGACCCCAACCCTCAGCCCTGGGCTCTTAAATCCCACCTGCCTGGACCCTCATCACCACACGCCCTGTACCAGGTCCACCTGTCTTTAAGAATATGGGGGCCAGGTGGTGGAGATCTTAATCCGCCTGTGATAATTATTTCTGGGTTTCTTCAGGGGGAGGGTAAAATTATCTCCACCTCTGCCCCTCTGCTTTTAAAAAGGTGACTAGATACTAAGAAAATGCAAACCAAAACCACAGTGAGATACCACTTCACACTGCCTATGATGGCTATTATGAAAAAAATGGAAAATAACAAGTGTTGGCCAGGACGTGGAGAAATGAGAACCTTTGTACATTGCTTATAGACATGTAAAAGAGTGCAGCCACCACGGAAAAGTCTGGCAGTTTCTCAAAAAGCTCAATGTAGGACTGCCCTACGACCCAGCAGTTCCACTCCTGGGGATACATCTGAAAGAACTGATAAGAGGGGCCTGACCAGACAGCACCCCCATGTTCCCTGCAGCATCATTCACAACAGCCAACGGTGGAAACAACCCCCGTGTCCTGATGGATGAACGGATAACAGAATGTGCTGCACCCGTACAACGGAATACTGTTCAGTGATAAAAAGGAATGAAGTTCTGACACACACTACAACCTGGACGAACCCTGAAGATACTAAATCGAATGAAATAAATCAGTGAAAAAAGGACAGATATTGCATGATTCCACTTAGAAGAGGCCCCTAGAACAGGCAAACTCAGAGAGACAGAAAGCAGACTAGAGGTTACAGAGTCTGTCTGGAAAGATGAAAAAGTTTTGGAAAGAGTGGTGACGGTTGCACAAGAGTGTGAATGTAATTAAAGTCACTAAATTGTACCCTTAAAAATGGATAAAATGGCAAATTTTATGTTATATATATTTTACCACAATAAAAAATGCAAAAAGGGCGACTAGACACACTGCTGTGGACACATGGGGGTAAAACACGGCAAACCCCATCTGCACTCGGTCTCTGCCTCTCTCAGAGTCCACCGAGCCCAGGGAGGCTAGCCCCCACACCTGTGACGGGACGGCTGCAGGCCAGACTTCACCTGGCGGGCTGTGCAGCGTTCCTAGTGAACGGAGGACGAGTCGGTACACCAGGGTCCCGCCCTCTGAGGGTCCCTCCAGGGCCTGGACCTCTTCTCTGTGGACAGGGAGCACGGCTCCCTCTCCATTTCCTCTCCAGTAAGGACTTTAGAAAAAGTCATCCCAATTTTCTATCTAAATACAATGTTTACTATAGCATTCTCTTTTTAATTTGCAAGTATAAACATTATCTTCCTGTTTCTCCCTCTTCTATCATTTTCGCAAAATAAGTGTTACCCGGGGATTAACACTATATTAATAAGGGTCAACTGGGGATTCTTCAATCCCAAATTCTCAGTGCATAGGATGAGTTCACCACCCGCAGCAACTTCCTCCTCAACCTCGAAACCTCGCCAACAACACAGTTCTTCACTTCTCCCATTTTGTAATCAGTCCCCAGGGAATGTGCAGTGACCATGTTATTATATTGGACTAAAGTCACGGGGAAATGAGTTTTACACAAACAAATTGAAAAGGCAAAGCCAAAGCCAGAACGCCTCACAAGCGTGAAGTGGTCGGAGGACTTGTCTTGAGGAATCAATAACGAGAAATCACCTTGGGGTTTTCTGCAAACTTCTTCTTGGCCACCCTCCTGAGGCTTTCCTCAATCCCCTTTCTCGATTTTGCCAGGATGTCCTCTGTCTGGTCCACCAACACCACTGTGTGGCCAGTTGCTGCAGCAACCTAGAGCAAAAAAAATAAAGAAAACATGAAAGTTAAAGAAAAAAAATGTACTTTCACATTCCCCATGAACTCTACCACCATTCTATTCACAATATTGAGTAAATGCAATAATAAGCCAACATTACGTAAACACACCTCTTGACAGGTGCAGCTCTAAACCTCTAAACCCTCTATCTTGATGGCAGCAAATCCTCGAAACAGCCTTATAAGGGTCAGAAGTGCGCCCACGGCGGCACAGCAGGCAGGCAGCACCTGGGATCGGAATCCAGCTCTCAAGGCCACACCAGAACCACTTCCCTGACAGCGCTGCCCAACACGGAGCCACCAGCCCATGCGGCCACTGAAATTAAATGAAATTAAAAACCCCCTTCCTCAGCTGCACCAGCCACATCCCAAGTGCTCAACAGCCCACTCACAGCGCCCACTCCCCACCCACCACCTTTCCTCCTTAGACCTGAGCATCCTGTGCAGCTCGACTCCTCAGCTTGCGTCTTCTGTAGTCCTTAAATCAGCAACAGGGGGGAAGACCTGAATCTCTAATAACGGTGTCAAACACCCCTGTCCCCAAGAGCTATGTAGTGACAAGACTCTCATGCAAGCAGGGCTTCGGTGCTCAGTCAATTCAGGAGGGCGATTCCCCTGCCCCCCCACCCCCCACCCTCTGCCCCAGCAGAACCCCGAGGGGACGTTTGGTGAAGCCGCCCCTGTGCGCCTGGAGCCAGCTCACTTTGGCCACAGTCAGCAACAAGTCAATCCCTCTTTCATCACAGTTTGCCAACAGCTTTGATGAGGCCTTCGGAACAGGTAGTGGGGCCAAAAGTGGCTCATGGGTCACGTGACAGGCAGGCGTGGAGCTGAGTTCAAGCATCAGGAAGCGGGCATGTGGGACCTCATACGAACATAAACGATGCAGGATGCCACCACTGCTGCCCCTCAGGGTCCGAGAAGACCCTACAGAACCCCTGCTCTGAGCCTGCGAGGCCCAGGGGTGGGCAGGAAGGGGCAGGTTGGCAGGGACGAACCTGCCCGCAGAGGACAGTAATAAGGAGTTGTTAACCACCGTCATGACGTGTGATGTTTGAAACCAGGCAACTACAACTCAAAGCTGAAAACCAAGGAGGAAAAGCAACAGAAGAGCAGAACTCAGAGGCCAAGCGGTTCCAACCCCACAGCAGGATTTCCAGAGGACGCTTTAAAAACAGGAAGACAGGTTTTGAGTGGAAATTAATTACAGCACACCCAAAGCTTCTCCCCGAGAGCTGCACAACAGCTGCAAGTCCGGGCCTGTGGGGCCTGTGGGGCCTGCGACGGCAACACCCACAGTCCACCCAGAGTCCAACAGCCAGTGCAGGGCCAGGGGGTCACGGACACAGGCAGGCAGCGAACCGCCCTGTGGGCAGAAGCCCAGGCTGCAGGCAGGCAGCTGGGTCAAAGCAAGACGCCCGCCAGTCTAGACCAGGGTTCCCCCTACATAACAACAGACCCAGGCCCATCTGCCACACAGACCTGAACCTCCCATACATTCAGTAAACAAGCGAGAGCGAATTAGAAACCGTGCAGAGACAACATGGCAGGCCTGGGACTGTTACCTTTAGACAGGCCCTTGGTGGCACTAGAGACAGACTGGAGGGTCCCACTGTTCCCTGACAGGGTGGCTCACCCTGTCACAGTGGTGTACACTGACGCCTGCTCTCCTTCTGGGAGCCAGGCAGAGGTGCACCAATGAAAACCCCAGCTCTGGGTCTCTAAGGAGCGCTCCTGGTGGACAACACCTCACAGGGCTGTCACCCTCACTGCTGCAGGCATCGAGCATGCCCTGTGTGACTCCACTGGGAGAGGGCTCTGGAAGCTCGCGCCTGGTCTCCTCACGCTCTGTCCCATGCACGTGCCTTTTCCCTTCCCTGACTCTGCTCTGTAGCCTTTGGCTGTAGCAAGTCACAGTATGACTTATCATTACGACTATGTGCTGGGTCCTGTGAGCGGATCCCAAACCGGGGGGGGGGGGCAGGATCCGGTGGGGAACCCTGACACAGAAACTAAGAAAATAAATCTCAATTCCAGATGCAGCTGGTGATGAAACTGAACGGCTCAGAGATGGGCACCCTGGGGGGAACAGCTGGGGGAAATGTGATGATGACAGACGGGTTCATCGTCCCAAGGTGGGGGGGGAGGCAGAGGTGCGGGCTCGGGGACCTCCCCTTCTTGCTCTGGCTCTTGGGTCTGACAGGCTCCTGGAACGACACAAGTGACCTACCCGAGGTCCCTCTTAACCTCTGACCTACAACATCCTTCGAACAACGGGATTCCTCCATTCCTACCTGCCGGGGCCCCACCCTACCTCTCCCTCCTTCACCTCCAGCAGGCATCACTCAGGGTTTTTGCTCCTCAGGGACTTGGGGCACAAAATCCAAGTACACTTGGCACAAAATAGTGCCGAAGCTGAAGGGAACAGAGACAAAGAAAGACAAGAGGGCAGAGTCCTTCTGAGAGACTTTATAATTTCACTGAGAAAACATAAAAAAAAAAAAAAAATCATCACCACCACCAATAGAAAGCTCCACATGTGGATTGTCAAATAAGACAAAACCACCAAGGATCTCGGACGGCCGGGTAGGAGGAGCGCACCTACAACGGGCCAGCTTCCCAAGGAATAAATATTGACCTTCCAGAGGTGGGCGCCTTTTCTCTAGAGAGCCACTTTCAAAGTTACTATAATCAGGTGTGACTGTGACCGTCACCGGGCATTTTTGGTTACACAGCAGATAAGCCACAAGGCTATCCTTATAATTAATTTTTTTCAACTGCAAGCAGAACCAAACCTAGAAGAAGCACCCTCAAATATTCAAGTAAAGCAAAAGATACGTGCATTATAAAAACACTAAAATTCAACCAGGAAAATCATGGTCAGAAAGCATTTTTAGAGCCAGCCCTGATGGCCTGGTGGTTAAAGTTCGGTGCACTCCACTTCAGTGGCCTGGGTTTGCTTCCTGGTCTCGGAACCACACCACCCGTCTGTCCGTAGCCATGCTGTGGTGTTGGCTCACATAGAAGAACTAGAAGGACTTACAACTAGGGCATACAACCATGCACTGGGGCTTTAGGCAGGAACAAAACAGAGGAAGATTGACAACAGATGTTAGCTCAGAGTGAATCTCTTCCTGCAAAAAAAAAGCATTTTCAGGCTAAATGCTGACCTCCACTCCTATCCAAAGTCCCCTGACAACACTCCCCCAGCCTCCCCCTCCCAGAAGAAGACCCTGGGCAATTCAGGCCCAGCCCTGCTCCACCCTGGCCTTGACAGAGCACGCTGCAGACAGTACATGTACGCAGACTCTGGCCAACAGACAGCTAGGAAATCCAGGCTCTCCAGGCACCGCTCCAGGACAGCACAATGCGTGTGTAAATGACCGTGTCAAAGGGACTGAGTGTGTAAAATGTCCATTTCCCCATCTCAACCAGAAGATACAGGAGGTGCAAGGAGGGGCCACCCCTAAGAGAGGAAGAGGACGATCTCCTTTCCCACTGACCACATTCTCACTCGAGGCCGCACAGGGCCTCGAGGGTCTGAAACAGCTGCTCCTGTGGGGACGCGGCTCTATCTTTCTCACTACCTCAAGTGTCTGGGGCATTTTCTACAATTCTGGGCTCTCCAAAATGCCTCCACTGGTATTTCCGGTCTGGTGAGAAGGTGACAATCACACACTGCACTCTCAACGGTTATCCTTGGCAGGGTCATTTGGGTAAACACTTTCTATCCCAGCTTTCCTTTCCTTGGTGAACTCACAGAGCTTCAGGAAACTACGACAGAAATCTGATGGTGTAGTCATCCGACAAACACAGATAGAAAGGGCATTCCTGTTTAGACCCACAGAAGATATGGTTAGGTCTGAACAGAGAAAACACAGGCGAAAAAGAGAAATTTAAGATCTCTTGAAGTATCTTCCATTTTAGGGTGAAGCTCTTTGGTGCAGGTCACAATTTACTGCACAGCAAACACTAATAAACTGTAACTGCAGCTACAGCGTAACTTCATAAACTAAATGAACAAACACATCAACACACTGTAACTGCAGCTACAGCGTAACTTCATAAACTAAATAAACAAACACACCAATACACTGTAACTGCAATTACAGAGTAACTTCATAAACTAAATGAACAAACACACTAACAAACTGTAACTGCAGTTACAGTGTAACTTCATAAACTAAATGAATAAACACACTAACAGACTGTAACTGCAGCTACAGTGTAACTTCATAAACTAAATAAACAAACTAATAAACTGTAACTGCAGTTACAGCATAGCTTCACTGGTTTCAAGTTAAAGCAGCATTTTCCTTCCACCCACCTGCAGAGAGCAATCTAACCGAATGCTCCAGTTCTTTGCAATCATTTTTTGCAGACACACCCTAGGGACACAGGTCGGCAACATCTTGAGGGCAACTCCATGTCCTATTTAGCTTTGCAAACCCCAGTGCCTGGCCCAGTGAGCACTCAATGTATATTTGCTGAATAAATAAACGAACGCACAAACCACGTCTAGCCCCCTGCCTGGTACCTGTCAGATGCTTAATAGAATTTCCTCAGGATGAGTCCATGTCCTTTGATCCTATCAACCTACTCCAAAAGGGCTTCCATTCCTCTCCCAGTGTGTGTGGAAACGGGCTCCTGCAGAGATGGATTCAGGAGGCAGGCAGCCTGTCCCTCAGCCCACACAATCCACCTCAGACTCAACAGCTGCAAAGCTCTCACCCCAGACAGGTTCATAAACTAAGGCAGCCCAGAACCTGGCCAGGTCGCCACAGGCCACTGAAACGCCAGCTCAATTCTTTCTGCATGATTAATGCACTTGTCTTATTTCTCCTGTGAGATCCCTGAGAGCTGGGAGAGCTTGCAGAAGTACAGTCTATCCACCCACAATGAACAGAAAGAACATGCACCTTTAAGAAGAAAAAAGCCCGACGCAGCAAAACTAAGAGATGCCGTGCACTGAGCAC